CCAGACGACTGCCAGCACTCACGCCCCCAACCTGCTCTCTTGGGTTGGTGGCATGAGTGCGGGCGGACGCTGCAGTCGCCCCGCAGGCCCGTGTCTGGGTCTGCCGGCGGGATAGGGTCTTGGGCGACTGCTGGCACTCACACCCCCACCCCGCTCTCGGATGGCGCTGTACCATCCTGCCTGCAATATGCAAATTAGCCGCCATCTTTTTTGGCAGTTAACTGCCATCTGAGTTGGCAGTTAATTTGCATATCTCGCTGATTAGCCAATGAAAAGGGTATCGGTAGTACGCCAATTACCATTTTTCTCTTTTATTATATAGGATTAGTGATAGCCTGTCTCTGGGCCCATACTTGGTGCAGTAACATACCAGTGCAAGAATGGCTGGCTTAACAAACACTGAGATATGACTGAAAATTCCCAGGTGACAAAATAAATAAATAAATGAGGCTCATATGACCTGCTTCAGACCCCATGTAACTTGAGCTGTTTCAAAGGGGTTTTAAAAATTAAGATCAACACAATTCACAGAATTTGCGGGATCATGTGTGAAAAATAATTATAGAATCATTGTCTATAATTTATATAAGAATCTAAAATGCATCATATTGGAGGGAGAGGATAAAGATCATATTATCTCAAAATAACTTTTGACCCAAGTTATTTTAAAATGAATACTCTAAAATGTTCAACTACCTATGTTTAAAGAATATGCCAAATCTAAAATATGAACATCTGGGCACATGAATAATTGGGCTATTTCCAATTTCTAAGAATGTGCAAGAAATATCATTTTACTCCAAGCCATAAATTTATAGAAACAATGGCTAAATATACTTCTCTCCCTTTTTAAAAATAATTTTATGTTTCTTTTGTTGTTAGTTATATTACTTCTTCCAGCAATTATTTTCATCTGCACCTGCTTTTCTGGCAAAAACTAGTAATTCTATTGTGCCTAAAACATTTCAATGAGCAAGTACAAATTATATATATACAGTGATTTAGTGCAACAGTGGAACATTAATAGATTGTATCTGTATCATATTGTATTTAAAGTTCCAGTAATTAAATATTAAAAAGGACTTTCAGAAAGTATGTCTACAGCTCATTTGTTTTAGATGATAATCCATAGTGCAATTAATTGCTGTAAGAAGATTGCTATTAATGATATGACTTATAAAATTCATTTATGGTTTTATTGCTTTTTTGCTATTTGTTTTGCAGTTAAATTGTACATCTTCTGTTGTACAGTTCTGTTCAAAATTAATGAAGAAACGTGTGTTTTTCTCTATATATATATGAATTATAATAAGATGATATTTACAGAAAATAATTAACCCATAGACAATGGAAACATTTTAGAGGCCAGAAATAAAAGACTGAATTTCATTTGTTTTCAAGGGAGTCAAGGGCACAAGAAAGGGGCACGGACACCCAAAGTACCAAAACAAGGCGGCATGAACTGGGCAGATCTGCTTCCTCCTCCCCCGGCGCATCCTCCTCCTCATAGCAACAGCGAAGAGTTCAGTATTTCTGTGGATGAAAGGTAAGAGGAATTTCAGAACGGATGTAAGTGGAATATGTGACTTCTTAAGCCCATATTAAGTAATTGTTAAACTAGATCACCAAGGCGAGACTGATTCCTAAAGTCCAAAAACACTTGTCTCTGAATAAAACAGTATCATGATAGGTCAGCAGGACTTATAAACCCTCTTTAGTGCTGCCAAAAAAAGGGAACTTGTGCTTTGGAAACTTCTTTTGGAGCTAAGAATTATGAATCATAAATATAAACACAAACACAAACATATATATATATATACACATACACACACACACACACACACAATTTACTTATATATTTTATATACATACAATTTATGTATATAAGCATGAATATATAATGATATCACATATCTATTATTATAATAGTAGAGGCCTGGTGCATGAAATTCATGCTCTGGAGGGGGGGTGGGGGGCCTCAGCCCGGCCTGCCCCCTATCACAGTCCGGGAGCCCTCAGTGGTGAGAGGCGACCTGGTGATCAGGGGAAGGCGACGACCCCATCACACCTCTGTGCTGCCACTGCTGGCAGCACAAGCCTCGGCTGGCCCGGTTACCTGAGCCTTGGGCAGCTCTGGGCGGCTGGGCAGCCAACAGCCAAGGCTTGCCTGTGCCTCGGGCTGGCCCTGGGCAGCTGGGGGGCTGAGGGGACTGGGCACTGCCATCTTTGAGCGCAGGGCAGTCAATTAGCATATTCCCTCCTTATTGGCTGTGGGCACTGCCATCTTTGAGGGCATGGCAGTCAATTAGCATATTCCCTCCTTCTTGGCTGTGGGTGCCGCCATCTTTGAGGGTGGCGCAGGCAATTAGCATATTCCCTTCTTATTGGCTGTGGGCGCCGTCATCTTTGCGACAGCATGAGGGTCAATTAGCATACTCCCTCTTTAGTAGATAGGATATATGTATACGAGTTCAGGTTTTCAAATATCAGAACTTTTATTGTACATTTCTGAATTTTCATAAAGTAATTATGTGGATTTGTGTCTTACCCACAGCATCCTGAAAACTCTCTGTTATTATATCACATTATGCTGAAAACTATGGAAATTTAAACTTGACTGAATTATCTCTCACAAGGATTTAACAAGTGTGAATATTACATATGGCAGCAGTTAGAAAATTTGTGTACTTCATCCACACTTCAGATTCTGTCAAACTGGACATGGTACCTCCCAGCAAAACAAAGCAGCTGCTTCACTAATCTGATTAGTAGAGGAGATCTCACTGGATGTAGGGAATTAACCACAACCCAAAGAAACCCTACAGAATCTACCTGAAAACGCATTCTTTTTAGTGACTATCGTAGAAGTGCATTGTTCTTTCATTGCACACACACACATACAGTTTTATAGTTCCAACTCTTCTGGAAATAAAGTCTCTGTAGTGTTATTTTCCAATCACTTAATTATAGAATACTAACCCATTGTTCCCAGGGCCAATGCAGAGTTAGGTTCCTGCAAGCCTCTGCTCACATTTTTGTTAAATGATCCAAACCTAAACAACTTATTGTTATGTGTGTGTTTTTGTTTAAAGACATCATATATAGTATATATTTTTGATTCATTAACATTGAACTTATAGCCAACAGCACTATAAGTCATTCCTAAAAAATGGTCATCTAAAATATTTTTTCATTAAGACACATCCCAGTCTTTTTATCCTTAGGAACACTAGCCAGTACTTAAGTACTACACTTGGGGCCATTTTAAACAGGGTGGTCACCAATGTAAAGCAAATACAGAGAGCACAATGTGGCACTATGAAAATGACACCTACTTACAGTATGATCACAGAAACGAGGAGGCAGAGCGCCACCTTTTTGCACTCTGCTAGTGATGTGCTCATCAGGTGACTCCTCTTTTTTACCTCCTGGCACATGTCTGGTAACTGATTGTGAACGAGGCACAGTATTGCCTTTGGGTTACAGATAAATTTTAGTGAGTAGGCAAATTTGCAAATATGGCATCAGCAAATAATGATGTTTGACTGTACTTTTAAATATTCATTTTCTAGACCATGATAATGACATTCATTTGTATTTTAGTCCTCAAAAAAAAAAGAACTGAAATGAAATAAGTGGATACAGTAATAAAACAAAAGTAGACACAGACACCTCTGTGCTCCAACTGAGGCTAACTGGGAAGAATGAAGGTTTCCAGGGCTCCTGGCTCCTGTTCTTGTCCTTGACAAATGAGAAGGTTCTCAATCAAGAGAAGGGTATTGTGGACATGAGGACCACACAGCAATGTGGACTCCTGGAGAACTAACAGGAAACACATTGTAGGGAGTGAAAGGAAGCTGGGAAGGCAAATGTAAGCCAGATATGCAAATACTTGAATGTCTTGTATGCACTTATATTTTATTCTCTAGACAATGAGAGTCATTTATTACTTCAGGGCAAATGAATGACCAGGGAGTGATGTGTCTTATAATAAAGTAATTTGGGAAGCAATGTGAGGATGAAGAAAGATTGACTGGAGGCCGAGAGACGGATTAAAAAGTTATTGCAGTAGCACATACAGCAGATTTAAAAAGAGGTATAGCTTCTGAAGAATTTTTAGAGATAGACTAGAGATGAATGGGGATACTTTGAGATACAAGAGAGATAAATAATTTAAAAAGACTGCAAGATTTCTAGTGTTATTTGTTGACACAGGAAACATCATAGTGGGATTAGTAAAGTAAAAGAAGATACAAAAAAATCATGTTACATGAACCTCAACTTTCCTGAGTTCAGGGGAAAAGGCAGGTGGTGAAAAATGAACTAGAGAAAAGAGTAACAAGAGCACAGTTCGTTTAATGCAGGCAATCACTGCCATTCTAATCAACAACCATATGCACTGGGCGGGGGACAAGCGGAAGGCATGAATGCTGTTCAGATCCATTCTAGAGCTTCTACATTCTCTCTGCGAAGCGTAGTGGGTATTTTATTGGTTAATATTTTATTTACTGTGTTTTTCTTTCATTATCCTAAATACAATCCGACGACTTCATTTTGTGCTCAACTACAGAAGGAGTGAGCAATTATAATTTTAGTGGAAAAATTAGTTGTTTTGGATTAAATAAGTTGATCTCTAATATATTTCCCTTTCAAAGAATTTTCAAGAGTATTTTTTTCAGAGTGTAGCATATCATTCTGGGGTCACATGCAAGACCATCCTTGAGTTGTCCTTTAGATATCATGTTGAATAGGATGGAGAGAATATATCAGACACATTTTAGAAGTCCTAAATTCAGCTACATTAAATAGATTTTTCTTTTATTACATGACTTCTCAGTGCCTATAATAGGCCAATGTAAATTGTAATCTCTCAAAGAAAAGTTATTATATGTTACATATATAATATATAATATGTAATATATAATGTATGTATAGCAATTCACAAACCTATGTGATGGTTCACCATTTTTTTTAACAATACCTCCTTAATGTGGCCTAGAACATTCAGATTGAAGAAACAGTTCAAGGCTGATACTCCGTTAGTTTATTTGAATAACCTGAAGTAATTCTAAGTATCCTTATAATCTGTTTTAGCTATGACCAAGAGATGCCATGTCCAGTGCCACCAGCGAGGATGTATTTACAACAAAATGAACTAGAAGAGGAGGAAGATGAACGAGGCCCCACTCCCCCCATCCGAGGAGCAGCATCTTCTCCGGCCGCTGTGTCTTACAGCCACCAGTCCACGGCCACCCTGACCCCATCTCCACAGGAGGAGCTCCAGCCCATGCTACAGGACTGCCCTGAGGAGACTGGCCACATGCAGCACCAGCCCGACAGGAGGTGGGTGCTCACTAGCCTTCTTTGCTCATATCATGCAATTTCCACTCGTAAGAAGCATTTATAGAATGCTATTACGTGAAGTTATTTTCATGTCACGTGAGCCTTTTTTCCAGTATCATCACTCAGGAAGGCCTGGTAATTAACATATCAAGTAATATTGTTGACCAGAACATTAAATTAATTGATCCCAGTGAACTTGCAACCATAAAATAATGTGCATCAATACTAACCCACTTATGATAATTGCATTTATAAACACATGGAGAATATGTAGTAAATTTATGGCTTACTAATCTTGTAATATTTTATAGACGGTGGCTGTTTTTGTATCTTAGTTTTCCTTATGCATTTGGTCTGTGGGAAATAGATTTTCTCCTGTCTTTTTAAATTAAGTCTACAGGATGATTTGTTTCCTAATGTTGCAGAAGAATGAGTTTGGTATATTCATTTTGTGTTGACATTAAGTTGGAGTCATTTTTTTGTCCTGGTTACTAAGTAATTTGTGCATGTATGTGTTAGACTTTTTTAAACCAATATGTTCAACGTTGCAAACCAATACATTTCCATTAAATACAAATACTTCACTTGTCATTTCTACCACATAGAAGTTGTTACTGCATCATCTGAGCTCTCCTAGTGTTGATGATTTTGTTGTATTATTTTATTGCCCTTGACACAGTATATTATACATATATTGCTTCCTAATGTCATTTAAAACTGAGTATATTATTTCCCTCAAAAGATCTCCCTTCAATGTTCTTGAATGAATAACAAGTTCTGGCTTATGCTGCTTGAATTTTGTCAATTGAAACAGAACTTGCAATGTTTATGAACTATTCTATTAGTAAGAGGTTATTACCAAATTCAAATCATATATTTGCTAAAATAGAAGAAGTAGCTAAACCCTTTGCTATGTGACAAAAGGGGAATCTGGATTGTCAATTAAATTTAATATTATTAACCCATGGAACTTCAAGAAAATTGAGAATAAGACATCTCTTTTCCTTATAAAGGTCACAAACCATCTCTGCTTCTCTTATTCAAAACAAATGAGAGGCTAATAGATGCTTTTAGCTCTGAAATACCATAGTATTCTTCTTTCCTTCTCTTCAATTACCTTTCCTTACCGTTCCCTTGTGTTACAATTGATACCCAATATCTTCTTAGCAAGCTTCTTCCTTTCAGTCCCTTATGTCATTCTGTCCACCTCGTTCAAAACACTACAAAATTGGTTTCCCTTCATCTATCTTGACTTCTCAGCCTCTTCCTCTTTATCCAATCCATCTTTCTCTTCATTGTTAACCACTTCCAGTTATCATGCTCTTCTTCCCTTCTATACTTTAGGATCGTGTAATCAGTTCTGTCTTCCCAATCCTATTCCTACTCAGCCCATTGCATTCTGCTGCCATCAGTCTACTGAAAATAACCTCCTAATGACCACCCTAAAGCAGTGGTTCTCAACCTTCTGGCCCTTTAAATGCAGTTCCTCATGTTGTGACCCAACCATAAAATTATTTTCGTTGCTACTTCATAACGGTCTTAGGCGACCCCTGTGGAAGGGCCCTTCGACCGCCAAAGGGGTCGCGACCCACAGGTTGAGAACCACTGAAGCCTTTGTCAAAGGCTTCTCAAACGCTATCAAACTTAAGCTTTCTTCAGTGATGGCAATTTTATGTATATGAAGTATCAGAAGCAGGGTAACTATCCAACAAATATAAGTACTCTACTGCCCTTACTCTTATGTTATCACTCCATCACTAGTTTCAATTATTACTTATATTCTGATGGCTTTCAAATGTATTTAGCCAGCCCAGCTCTTCTTATTGAGCACCACTGTGATATTTTCTTTCTTCCTTGTTTTGTTTTTTAATTATTTAATTTAGTTGCTACATAATATTCTATTGGTTATATTAGTTTCCTTTTTTAATATATTCTATTGAGTTCAGAGAGGGAGAGAGAGATAGAAACCTAGGTGATGAGAGATAATCATTGATATGCTACCTCCTGCACACCCCCTACAGGGGATTGAGCCTGTAATCCAGACATATGCCCTGACTAGGATCTGAACTGTGACCTACTGGTTCATAGGTCGATGCTCAACCACTGAGCCAGGCCAGCCAGGCTAGTTATATTAGTTTCACGTGTACAGTATAGTGATTCGACATTTCTATACCTTACCCTGTGATTGCTCCACTAATTCTAGTAGTAATCCCTCACTGTGTAAACCTATCACAATATTAGTGAACACTGTGATGTTTTCACTTGGGCATATCCAACTACACTTGTCTAAAACCAAATATTTTTCCTTGCATTTAATATTTTAAATGTGTTTTTTCTTTTTTATGACTATCTTATTTAGAATTATCAATCCTTATTTATCTGGCCAACACAATAAAATAGCCAGAGGAATAGCCAAAATCGCAAAATTTCTCTCTCTCTCTCTCTCTCTCTCTCTCTCTCTCTCTCTCTCTCTCTCTCTCTCTCTTTCACACACACACACACACACACACACACACACACACACACACTTCATTTTTAAATCAGCTTAATTATCCCACTGTTTACTTTTTTCTGCTGTCTTCTTACCATTCCTCAAATTAAATTAGTGGCCAGTCCCTTCAGTTCTACTCCAAAATATATCTTAATTTTGTTCCTTTGTTAACATTTTTACAGAGGCTAGGCCAGGCCCGCAGTCTACATATATATCCTTTGAAACACTGTCATATCTTTGAACTAACCGGTTTTCTTCTCTCTCCCCTTTTATTGTCCATGCTCCACGTCTTCCTTTGTACACAGATCTAGTAACATTACTCCCCATTCAGAGCTAAGTCTTATTGTTCAGCCCAGTATTCAAAGCTTTTCACAATCCTCCCCCCTTTACTTCCCTCCACCCTTCCAATTCCTGCACATATACACTTTTCTAACTAGCCTGTTTGAAATTCCTTTAATTTGTCTTAAACTCACCAACATCCAGGTGAGCAATGCCACTCCCCGGCCCACAGAGGGCTGCTCTGGAGCTAGCAGGAGGGACAGGCCACTTTTGCCTCACGTGGCCATTACCAAATGGTCAACTTTGCTTAGTGTCCTCACTATGAGCATGTGTCTTGCACAAGCTGTTTCTTTGATTGCCTGGCAAGCACTTCTCATCTTTCTAAGCCCTTTTTAAATGTACCTCTCTGTGAAACCTTTTTCTGATTGCCTGGCAGAATGAACCAGTCCTTTACTTTATTCTTACAATGGTCTGTTCACAGCTCTGCTATCACACTAATCAGATTCCAGGTTGCATTAGCATTTGCTATTTGTATCTCTGTTTCCCTGTTTAAGTTAAAAGCTCTTTGACAGAAGATCTAATGTTTTATTCCTGTCGTTAAGTTCCACAAAGCTTTCTTCAGTAACTATTTGATTAATGGGATCTGATACTACAGGAGAATTTGGAGTTGACCTACCCCTGTTGTTTCAGGGGGATGAATACTCGTATGAACTCCACATGGACATGTGTAATTGGGAAATTCACTTAAAATTCTGTTTGACTAAATTCAGCCTTTAAAAAAAAAGTATGATTTTTAGTCTAGGAAGGTATTAAGGAATTTATTTCCAGGTTTGTTGCTAGAAATAACATGGACACTAATAAGAAGTAGATGAAACCCTATTAAAAATACTATTACCATTCTTTTATGATGAAGCTAATCTACATGGTTACTATAGAAATTTTGGAAAATAAAGTTATAAAAACTAAAAATATAAAAATTCTAATGATCTATGTAGTCAGAAATAATCGCTGTTAAGATCTCAGTAAAGAGTGTTTTTGTTTTTCATTTTTCTACATACTCATTGGTTTGATTTTGTGATATGCCATTATTTTATAAGCTTCTTTTTTCACTGAACAGCATATTATTCCATGTAATAACTTTTTATTTAGATATGCAGTTTAAACAAATGTGCACTGTAACTTATTTAACGTTTCTTAATGTTGGACAGCTTAGTTGGGCTACCTCTCCAATGCTATATACTAGTACAGCGCTGTAATTCCCGCAGCCAGTAGGGTCTCTTCTCAAAGGCGTGACCTCCCTGGATACCTGCCCCTCAGTAGATGACTTCTGTTTCCCATCACCTGCCACTCCTCTGCTGATGCTCTCATTAAAAGCACATGCTAATTCTCTACAGATTTCACCCTAGAGCACCAGACCCTTATCCCAAGTTCTCATTATGACACATTTTTAGTACTTAAATGTCAATCAGAGCGATACATGTATCTCCGGCGATGGAGGCACTTTCCTGCTTCTGACAACCATTGTCTCTTGCTTGTATCTGTAATGATCTGTAAGTGGCTTGTTGCCTAGCCCTGCCCCTTCCCTTCCTCGAACGAGTCTTCCTGCTGCAGACTGTGCAGAGGTATTTTCTAAAATGCAACACTGATCAAGTCTCTCCATTGCTTAAATCTCTCAGTAGCTCTCCATTTTCCTAAGAGTAAAAGCAAGATTCCTTAACATGGCAATCACAGCCCTTTGTGATCTGACCTATGTGCCTTCTCATCCTTATCCGTTGCCACTCCCCTCACTGTTCCCGTTGGTTGCCTTCACTCTGTTTCTAGCACTTCCTGGAATGGCCAGTATTCTCATCCACCTTGAGGTCTTTCCTCATGCTGTGCCATCTTCCTGGAACACATTATCCCCTCTCTTTTTTGGAGCTAACACTTGTGTATCCTTTAGACCTAAGATTAAGTGGCAGATACTCTCCACAGAGTATTTCTCTGATGTCCCAACTCTGAGATGGAACCAATTCTATGTGTTCCCACAATACCCTAAACAACCTCTGTCATGGAGATTCATGAATACTGCATTATGATTGCATATTTAATTAATTGTTTGTCTCCTCCACTGGCTGTAAGCCCATCCAGGCAAGGAACATAACTATTTTGCTGAATTTCTAACATTGTCTCACCTCTGCCACATTCATTGGTCAGAGAAGCCAAAGGGTCCATCCAGATTCAGGAGTCTAGAACTAAAATCTCTCTCTCTCTCTGTCTCTCTTTTAAATTCTTTATTGTTGAAAATTTCCCCCCATTGACCTCTCCCCCGCTTGCTCCCGCCCCCCATCACAGGCCCTCACACCCCACTGTCTGTGTTCATTGGTTATGCTTATATGCATGCATACAAGTCCTTTGGTTGATCTCTTACCCAGCTTCCCCTGCCTTCCCTCTGAGGTTTGACGACAGTCTGTTTGATGCTTCTGTTTCTCTGGATCTATTTTTATTCGTCAGCTTATGTCGTTCATTATATTCCACCAATGAGTGAGCTCATGTGATACTTATCTTTCTCTGACTGGCTTATTTCACTTAGCATAATGCTCTCCAGGTTCATCTATGCTGTTGTAAAGGGTAAGAGTTCTTTCTTTTTTACAGCAGCATAGTATTCCATTGTGTAGATGTACCATAGTTTTCTAATCCACTCATCTGCTGATGGGCACTTAAGCTGTTTCCAAATCTTAGCTATTGTAAATTGTGCTGCTTTGATTTTAGAGAGGAAGGGAGAGGGAGAGAGAGATATTTTAGTAATATGGGCAAATGGAATAGGATACAGTTGCAAGGAAAAAATATACGAAGGCAACAGCAAATTAAATATCATATCTATTTACAAACCAGGTAATGGTTTATTATACAAAGTATTGAAGCAACAACAGTTTCAGAAAAAAGCCTCAAAGGTATGCATTTCCCCTTTTGTCCTATACCTGGTAAATTGTATGTGGTAAACTATATAAACACCTGCTTTCAGAAATCAATGTCATTGTCTCCTTCTTTTCTTACACATGTTTATGAAGGCATTATTTTTGCAGGAGCCTAGAGTGTTGTGATCCACAGTCTATACGTGTACATTATTTCAGAGACATCGAAACCTCTGGGGGCAGGGGCGATCTAGAGGGTGGAGGGTCATTTGTGGCAAGTCCCACTTGAGTGCAGCATCCTGAAATGGCTTTTTGTTTTCAAATAGAATATATTACATATTTCAAACTGTACATGTTTATCACACATTCCCTGGGCTTGCCTTATTTACAGGTGATTTGCACAGGGTGGTAATAGTTAAAAGCCAGTCCTTGTTTAACATGAAGCTGTTTTTACTCTACAGAATGTGAATTACCCAAATACAACAATGCTGGCATTGTTTCATAGTGAAGTTGGCTCTTCTACATTGTTTTATTGATGGTCAAAATAGTCCCTTTTGTGCTAAAAGTCTTATATGTCTTTTATAAAAGAGGTTTCTTGTGGTATTTGGCTGTGCATGCTGACAAAGAACTGTAAATTAACATTTAAGGATGGCATTTTATTGCAATTTAAATTAAACAAAGGTTTTCCTCCTATGTGTATAACACACTCCATATTGAAACTATTATTCATTTTAATCTTTTAAATAACTTCAACTTTAGCTCATTTAATTTTCTTCTAGTGCCACACACAGATACTTTAGAAACCACCAACAAATAAAAACAACACATTATATTTAATAACTCTAAGTCTATATATAAAAAGTGTATATATAATTACATATATATATATATATATGTAAATATATGTGTATAGTTCCATATATATGTAATATCATTCTTAGAAGATATTCATGACCTGGAAATGAAATGTGGGATTAAATTTAAAATTTGATACATACTAATTGTGGAAACTTTGTCAAGGTCCTTAATTCCTCTGAATTTTAATATCCTCATCTATAAAATTATAATAAAAGAAATAGTTTGGCAAGTTGTCGTGAAAATTAAATGAGTTAACATTGTAAAATATACTTAGTTACAAAGTAGGTGCTCAATAAATAAGTTAATTATAGTATTTTAATAATCCTTTTTTGTTAGTGCTTTTACATTGGTGTTAATAAAACACATTTGTCAAAGTATCTCACTTCATTGGGATAAAAAGCTCAAAACGTTTTTCTTTGAACAATTGCCATCCCATTTTAAAAACTTCTGTATTGGACTTCCCTTTTTCTCTCTCTAGTAGGTCCCTTTGTTAGGTTTTGATTAGATCTTATTTTGTAGTTTGTATACTTTCTATTTTTTTAATACATGTTTCTTGTTTATTCTTTTAAAAATATATTTTTATTGATTTCAGAGAGGAAGGGGGAGGAAGAGAGAAACATCAATGATGAGAGAGAATAATTGATCAGCTGAGAGAGAAGCATAGATCGACTGCCTCCTGCACGCCCCCCATTGGGGGCAGAGCCCTCAACCTAGGCATGTGCCCTGACTGGGAGTCGAACTGTGACCTTCTGGTTTATAGGTCGACGCTCAACCACTGAGCCCACTGGCCAAGCTCATAGCCTTTTTAAAAAATAGAATAAAATCTAAAGGAAATTATGTCATATGCTGAATGTATAAATTTTTAATCCTAAAAAATTCTACTGTCTATGGTCAAAATGAATTGTTCTACCTAAAATGATAGGGGTGGCAATGAAAGAAAGCAAAGGAACATGTTTATATGTTTATGGAATAGTCTGCTTCAGGACTGATGCCCGTTGTCTTTGGTAATAATAAGCTACCAATAATTATCCAGGATGCTTTCGGAAAAACACACAGACATCAATGTCAAAATAAGTATTACTTCCCCTTTTTTAATTGACCCTAACCATATGCTAAAGCCTGAGGAGACTGATAGATGGCTGAGTGTATTTATATTAAACTTTAATCAAAACGTCATCCAGCTTGGCCCTGGCTAGGATGGCTCATTTGGTTGGAGCATTGCCCTGTACGCTGAAAGGTTGCGGGTTCGATTCCAGGTCAGGGCATATACCCACGTTGTGGGTTTGATCCCTGGTCTGCAGAGTGTGTAGGCAACCAATCGATGTTTCTCCCTCTCTCTCTCCATCTCCCTTCCTCTCTCTTTAAAATCAATAAAAACATATCCTCAGATGAGGATTTAAAAAAAAAAGAAAAAAACTAAAAATAGTCCAGCTTGGTCAAAAATGACTGGTTTTGAGGTAAATATCTTACAACTCAAAACTTAGACATGCTCTGATTTCCAGTTGTTTTTTTCTGAACAAATTAGATCCACAGAAGCGAAGATTAAATGGGTATACTTGTGAGTTTCTTGGTTAATATATCCTTTGGGGAGCTGAGCCATACCTGTGTGTCTTCCCGCAGACGGCAGCCTGTGAGCCCCCCGCCACCGCCTCGGCCGATTTCCCCACCGCACACCTACGGCTACATTTCAGGGCCCCTGGTCTCAGACATGGATACGGATGCGCCCGAAGAGGAAGAGGACGAAGGCGACATGGAAGTGGCCAAGATGCAGACCAGAAGGCTTTTGTTGCGGGGGCTGGAGCAGACCCCGGCCTCCAGTGTTGGCGACCTGGAGAGCTCCGTCACCGGGTCCATGATCAACGGCTGGGGCTCAGCCTCCGAGGAGGACAACATTTCCAGCGGGCGCTCCAGCGTCAGCTCTTCTGACGGCTCTCTTTTCACCGACGCTGACTTCGCCCAGGCGGTGGCGGCAGCGGCAGAGTATGCTGGTCTGAAAGTGGCACGACGTCAAATGCAGGACGCCGCGGGTAAGCCACCACTTCTCACCAACCACCACTTCTCACCAACCGATGTGTACATATCAGTGGCTGGGCATCTCCTGGAATGTCCTGTGGAAATGCCCTCTCACTACGCTTCTCTTTTTTTTCTGCCTAAGGAAGTGAAGGTCCAAGAATATGACATAGCTTGATTCTTTTTCTTGACAAGGATTTTTAAATATTGTTTTTCCCATTAAATAAATCATGTATAATGTGAATGAAGCTACCTTGGAAATTATTATTTTTAAGATAGTCATAACAAATACATATTTTATTTATTTAGGCATATAGATAATTAAATGAGGTTTGTATTATAGGGGTTTTATTAAGGTGTCAAAAGTCATCAAAAAATTCTTATCCCATTTAACTTGAAATCCCCTAAGAGAACTAGATTAATATCCAGGAGGGACCATTGGAGATGGGGCTATTTCTCTTTCACCCCCATTCTCTTCATTCTCAATTAGAATATTAATTTAATTGGACAGATATAAAGATGTTTGTAATAGACATACATTTCCAAGCATAAATATGCTCCATACATAAATATTGTTAATCTAATAATTTTCAAGTTTAACCATGCAATCTATAATAATAAAAGCATAATATGCTAATTAGACTGGACAGCTGAATGACCTTCCGGAAGTAATTCTGGACATCCTTCTGGATGAAGTTGTGATGGCGGGGCTGAAGCAGAAGTGGTTAGGGGCGATCAGGCAGGCAGGCAGGCAGGCGAGCAGTTAGGGGTGATCAGGCAGGCAGGCAGTGCGGTTAGGGGCGATCAGGCAGGCAGGTAGGCGAGTGGTTAGGGGTGATGATGAAGGCAGGCAGAGTGGTTAGGGGTGATCAGGTAGGCAGGAAGGCCACCGGTTAGGAGCCAGCGGTCCCGGAATGTGAGAGGGATGTCCGATTACCACAGGGCATTCAGACATTCCCCGAGGGGTCCCAGATTACAAGAAGGTGCAGGCCGGACTGAGGGCCTCTCCCCCTGAATTACGTGCACCGGACCTCTAGTCATATATATTTTTCTATATATAATTTTCTTTTTATTGCCAGTAGCCTGTTTTTAATAACCATTCTGATGTTTTAACCCATTTTTGTTTATCTCCTACTCCTGACCCTGTTTAAAAAGTAAATAGTTACTAAAATAATTTAAATGATACATTTATCACATGATTTTTTAATAGAATGGGATAAATACATATACACACTCATATACATATTGTGTGTGTATTTCTGGTAGTCAAGAGTAAAATAATAATTAAAAAAAGAGTAAAATAATGTGGTCAACAAGAAAGAGAAAGACTATCACAACAAATCAAGAATTGCTATTTTTTTTGTTTACTTTGCATTGGGAATTTTTCATGTTCTCTTCATATATTGAATTGGTCATTAATTTTTATCAGTGTAGAATATATTCAAAGAAAATTTAACTCACATCACAAAGTTATTTCTATATATTATTTATCAAAAATATGTTGCAAAAAACATGTCTAATATCTTTCAGCCTATTCTAGTAGAATGTATATTTATTTCAGCCAGGTCTATATGCAACCAAAATTCCTCCCCCCATCCCAATAACTGCTCAATGTAATAAGATTCAAACCTACCTATCTTTTCTAATACAGATATAACATTCTAATATTATATGTAACATTTGTTTCTCCTTATTCTTAATCTTCTATAAAAAATAAAATTAAACACCTCAAACTACTGCTTTCAGATTGCATTAAGGGTGTGTTTCAGTTCATTAAATCAATGAAACATAGAAATACGTTAAAAATTCATCATATTCAAGTTGAAAAGACCTTATGCCTTAGAATCTATAGCAGAAGATGGCCTTACATAATAGAATAAATAATGGGTTACTCTCAGCCCTAATTCTCTCTTTTCATGGATATGTAACTTTAATTGTAATAGTCTCCATCATAGCTAAAGAGAGTTTGATATAATATCGTAATTTAGTAGCACTCCTGATTTTAGTTTGGCTCATAATTATAATGAACTAAACATGCACAGGTATCTGCCTATTAAAATGTTCTTTTCAGGAAAGGGTGCTGCATATCATATGACTTAAGTTAATGTGAATGAATGATCCTATCACATTGCTTCTCACTTGGCCGCATTCATGTCTTATTTATATGCTTCATTTAACACCTTTAAATATGTTGATTTCACTATATGTGGGTTCTCCTCTATTTATAGTCAAAAAACATGGTTAGGTCTGCTGGAAGTTTCTTGTGGTACAACAAAAAGTTCTGGATTTGTGTCTTTGAAATTTCTAGAAACCAAAAGAGCGAGGGTCAAGTAAGGGCCAATAGATGTCCATTGCCATGATGGATTAAATGTGTGTGTGGTGCCACTGTAATGCAACATCTCTGTAAGACAGCCAGAGACTATGAGAGCACTCACCTGCACCTGATCTGATTGTGAATATTGTCTCTCCAAAACCAAATAAAGACATACCTCATTTTACTGTGGTTCCATGTATTGCTGCTCTTCACTGATGTGTGTTTTACAAACTGAAGGCAAGGCCCGCCACCAGCAAAAAGATTACAACTCCTTTTATTGTGATGCTTGCTTAATTCTGGTGGCCTGGAATGAAACTTGCAGTATCTCTGAGGTATACTTATAATCAAAACCCACCTCTGCCACTACTGAGAAAAATAAAAGTCTGAGGTGGGGTCATTTGAAGTATCCAGAACCTACAAGTTTCTATCTTGTAATAAAAAAGAGGTGTGAGTATTTTGGGTAGGTCCAAATATTTGAGTTAGCTTTATACCAGGCCCCTTTAAGAGAAGATACTGGAGAATATATTAAGATATTGGGAATCTACCTTCAAAAAATAACAAACATATTTAATTAAAATAGAAGATTTAATTAGTGTTGTTCATTCTGAGTACATGAATTTCTTAAGGACTCTGGCTATTCCTTGAGAAAGCAACATTGAGTGTTTTATGAAAATTTTAATTAGTATATATTTAGCAATAATTTTAGTGCAGTTTGTTGCAAAAAATAATTGGAATGTTTTTTCTTTAATAAAAAAAATTAATAGGATAAAAGTACTTTGGGGGGGGGGGCAGCCTGAAAATGCCCTTAAAGTGTTTTTCCCAGTGGACAGTGCAAGCAGAGTGTCAGAAATCTTATTATTTGCCAAAATTGCTTACTAAAGCTTTTTAAAAGTTAGGGATCTTTCTAGTTTTCATGATTATTATTATTATTACAATTTGTTGATGAGCTTGGCTCTGATGTATTTTTCTCAGGCCGCCGACACTTCCATGCATCCCAGTGCCCTCGGCCCACAAGTCCTGTTTCTACGGACAGCAACATGAGCACCGCTGTGATGCAGAAGGCCAGGCCAGCCAAGAAACCAAAACACCAGCCAGGACATCTGCGCAGAGAAGCCTACACAGATGGTAAGTCCATTGAAATGATGAAAACATCTATGAATCTTGCACATTTATCCGGCTCTTCATGACTAGAAAACACATCTACTAACATTAGAAATTACATTAAGCATTCATTCTCAGTAAGCCTTATAATAGTTATAGGAATGACCGACTTCTGTATCTTGTCAGGCCTCTCTGGTCCTTGCAGTTTTCTAAGAAGTTGATAAACAACGGATACTTTTAATATTTTTTAAAGCTATCGAACAAGTAGACATCGATGTAGTAGAACTAATGGTATAGTGTAAAATTTCATCAGATTCATTGATAAACCTTTCAAAGTGTTCTCATTTTTCCCCCCATGTGGAATTTTGCATTCAAATAGAAGACAATTAACTCATATGAATATTCATTCTAACTCTAGTGTTACCAACAGTTAGGTTGTACACCAAGAGGCAAAGCGAATCATCTTTCTTCATGCCTTTACATACAGTACCGACTCTCACTGAAGAGTTAAGCTTGTATTCACAAGGGAGCTCAGGAGAATAATGCAAACATTGGGATGTTGTCTAAAAAAAGTCTTTAATGAAAGTGCCTCAGGTGGCGCAGCGTGTATTAAACTGCCACCTTCTCGTTTTCTAAAACAACCCCAAGGGCTTTGTTGGAAATTCATGTAAGATAAATTCTCACAGACTCACCCATCTTGTCAAGTTTGCTAAATTTGCTGAAGGGGCGGGGGAAGAAGGGTGTCACAGGCAGCATTCCGTACCTCCCGGTCCTCTCCCACCGCAATCTGATTAGGACTTTCATTACCAGTCAGCAATTTTTCAAAAGGGCATCATTTGCCATTATCATATGAAAGCCTAATATTATAGATATTTATCCAAGGTTACAAGCAGGGTTTTCTGAGGCACTTCTCCCTGTGATTCCTGCTACTTGACAGAAAAATTTAATACAAAGCTCACAGCATGATGAGCACAAGTAATTTTGCAATGAGTGGCTGTCCATGCTATTATCTCTATTTTACTCGGTATTTTCTCTCACTGGCATCTATCTGATATTAGGCTGCATTAAATACTGGCAGGACCTGGCACAACTGGGCCTCCTGGCTGCTGCCCAGGACTCTTTTGTCAGTAAAGCTGTGCTGCCAGAATATTATCTGATTTTTGAAGGGTTATTACAGTGGCTTTGTGCATGTTTGCCTCTGTGAAGGGACAGCACTAGGTATAAATCGCCAAACTCTATCAGCACTTTTACATTTATGGGACCCCTTTAATGGCATTTTCCAAGTTTTATAGCTGTTGTATTAGTTTTATTATCTAGAAGAGAGATGCCCCTAACTGAAAATTGGGTCAAGCATCAAACCTTGATGTAAACACATCCAAGTTGAATTCATAAGGGGGGAAATCTGGCCTAGAGCTGTGTGTAGCTCTTTCTGCCTCTTATTTATACTTCTTTGAGAGGCTTCTGGCATTGAGTGATGGTTTTTAAAAATACTTTAAATAATGTAATGCCAGCTTAAAGGGCATAGCATAAATTTATAGCTATAAGGTGCACTGTGCTTGAAAATTGTGATCTATATGTATTGTCCCACATTCTGTAGTACTTATTTCAGCATATTTAATAATTAAATTTAAATTCTTACTAATCCCAGAATAATAACTATTAAACTGAACAATGAAGCACCCAAGTTTTTTCAAGTCTATTTTAGAAATAAATAACAATGAAATAATTGAAATATTTGTAAAGCCAAAAGTTAATTTGAAATATTTTTGGATTTCTAATTGTTTATTTCTTAAAGTGATTATGTAAAATTATCATAGTATATATTATAATGTAGAAGTTGATATTTATTTTTTCAAAGTCACAAAAACAGACAAAATGGGGATATGACTAAAGCTACTTTTTAAATTTTACCTTTCACTTCCTTTCAGCATTTTGATAATCAAATATTTTTTAGTTATGTTTATTGTCCTAACAAGTCTTAAATTTAATTCTGGATGCTTTCTAATTTAATAAAGACAAAAATAACAAAACTATGTGTTATTTTATATATACCACATAATGCATATTGATTGACTAAAATTATGTAAATGCATATTCTTCTTAATGTACCAAATAGAAGAAATGCACATAGTCCTGATAACAGTGGTTATTGAAATAATGGACATTGAAACAAAAGTAATTTTCTTGGAAATTATTTTATCAAATTACTATAATGCATTTTATGAAAAAATACTCAGACTATTTCATGAAGAAATTCAAAGACAGACACAGTTTGTACAATTATAAAAAAAAGGGGGGGGGCTAGCTAGTGTGGCTCAGTGTTTGGGTGTTGACCTAGGACCTAGGAGGTCACAGTTCGATTCCTAGTCAGGGCACATGCCCCAGTTGTGAGCTCCGGTCCCCAGTGGAGGGTGTGCAGGAGGAAGCCGATCAATGATTCTCTCTCATCATTGATGTTTGTCTCTCCCTCTCCCTTCCTCTATGAAATGAACAAAAATATATTTTTTTAAAAGAGAGAAAGGGGAGGAGGTTATAATTGAAAGAGCTACCAATTGTTAAAATCTGAATTAAATCTATTAGCAAAACATGGAGGGTATGTTTTTATAATTTTTGCTTTTTAATAATTAAATATACATTAACTATGATGGATGAGTTTGATTATTGTCAATAGACTTTTTATGTGAACTCTTTTCAGGAAATGATATATCAGTCTTGAGACTGTAACATCTTTACTTAGAAAATTTTGTTTAAATTATAAATTTTTTGCAGATTTTTTGTAAACTACATAAAGAAGGATAAAGTGTGGCTATGTCTGCAATGATGAAGAGTAATTTGTAATGATTTTTGTCAGTAAGCTCTGTTGAAATTTTAGCCTTAGTTTTCTGTGACTGCCATAACAAAGTACCATAAACTAGATGGTAAACAACAGAAATTTATTTCCTCACAGCTCTGGAGGCTAAAAGTCCAAGATCAAGGTGTTGGCAGGGTTTGTTTCTGAGGTCTCTCTTTTTGGCTTGTAGATGACCATCTTCTCCCTGTGTCTTTACTTTTTCTTTCCTCAATGTGTGTATGTGTCCTAATATCTTCTTATAAGGAAACCAGCCAGAGTGGAATAGTGCCCACCTAACGATCTTGTTTTACTTTCATTACCTCTTTCAAGACCTTAAATCCAAATAGTTTCATTCTGAGGTACGGAGGTTAGGACTTCAACATAGGAATTTTGAGGAGACACAGTTTAGCCCATAACAATGCTCTAGCCCCTGATTGGTGACACTGTGACCATATCTTGCTCATAGCACCTCGGAAGAACCCAGTGCAAAGCCACATGCTCTACGCTATAGTCACAGTGACAGGCATAATCTAACTATTTATTTCAAATTTTCCACTTACCAGTTTCATCCAGATGAAGGGAAGGATGAAAATATATGAATATTTATCAGTCAGCATCCTATCAAGTTAAAACCAAGCATAAGTGCATTTCTAGGACTTTCTAATAGATTCTTCCCACCCCCTCTTTTCAACCCTTTCCAATGCATTTGCATACTTGATTTAAAAACCAAATCTACATTATTTCTCTAGCCCTACTTTTCATAAATTATAAATTCACCACCCTCTTTGGAATGACATTATTTTGACTTGATTTATCATTAATTACAAGGTCTTGGGACTTTAGGCAGTTAAGTAAATAGAGTGCTGGTCTCCTTAGCAAGTTAATGCAGTAGAATTGTCTGCATGCACATGCTCCTACATACTACTTTGCATGCATTATACTGGTATTTGGAGAGTCTTGTGTAAAGAATAGTTTTTACTTCTTTATATAAAGAGCCTAGCCATAAATATAACAGGTTCATGATCCATTTGTTAAATCCAATTTGAGCTATTAGTGGTATGAATTGGATAAAAGTACTATTTATCACTACATCAAATACAGAATTATTTATACTATGATAATCTCTTATTTGATTCTAATTATTTTATAACACCTAAAAATACTTTATTTGGTAATCTGCTTATATAAGAAATAAAAACTCCCAGCATATCCCTATAATTATCAATTAGATACAGTAGCAATTATATACAGGAAGTTAGAACTTTTAAATTAACCATTGTGTTCTCTGATTCTCTCTCTCTCTCTCTCTCTCTCTTTTTACCTTTTTTATAGATAGCACCTATATAAAGCATCTTGTAATAGAATTTGTCTTGAGAGTCATATATTACCATCAGTTTTGATATCTATTAAGCCCAGACATTTTTTGACTTGAAGACACTGGCGGTCATCAGTTTCCTGATAATCTGCTTGCAATCCAGTGTAAGTGTATAGAAAGCAGACAGTTTAGAAATGAGACTGTAGGCACTCTTCCCTGTGCTTCCGGATGTGCTCAGAATTAGACTTTTCCCCTCTCCCCATTTCAAGTTACAGTTTCAGTCTGAACTTCAGGACTCTGTGATGTTGGGTTTCTTGGCTTTAAGCCATGTGGTATCATCTTTCTTTGAACACTCTCTTTTTAGTTATTTTTAATAAACAAGTAGCAGATGTGGTAGGTGCTTTCATGATATTACATCTTTTTAAATATTATTTTTTAAATTTATTTTTTAAGTAGTAGAGGAGGAAAGTCATGCACTAGTGACAATGGCAATATATGTTGTAAAACTAAAATCATTTGAATTTCTAGAATCTGGGGAAAATTAGTGCTGTTGGCTGTACTTTGGCCACGTTTTAGATGAAACTTTGAGGCTATTCTATATGAAAAAAGAACATGGTGAGCCATGAAAACTGACAATAACAAAAATGTAAATAAAAGTTTTAATAATGGATTCCTGAGTAAAACAACTGGTAATAAGATGGTACTTCAAGTTTGTTTTGTTTTCAAAGACCATTACAATGATTTTGAATGTCTTAGCTTCAGCACATAATATCAAAAGAAAATTAATTTCAAAAAAATTTTGCCAAAACCGGTTTGGCTCGGTGGATGGAGCGTCGGCCTGCGGACTGGAGGGTCCCGGGGTTGATTCTGGTCAAGGGCATGTACCTGGGTTGTGGGCACATCCCCAGTAGGAGATGTGCAGGAGGCAGCTGATCGATGTTTCTCTCTCATCGATGTTTCTAACTCTCTATCTCTCTCCCTTCCTCTCTGTAAAAAATCAATAAAATTTATTAAAAAAAATTTAAACCTACCTACGGGACAAAATAAGGATTAATTTATTTTTCAATAATATAAGAATGAGAAACACTAGGTTAAAATTGATGCTTCCTTGGACCCTTAAATTGTTATTAAGAATTTTCAACACAAAATTTTAATATTCAATAGCTTCTCATGCTGGTATATGTAAATGATAGGCAGTAGATCATTGTCAGTAATACTAAAATATCCGGAAACAACCTAAATATTTATCTGTAGGGATTGACTAAATAAATAATGATATATTCATTAAATAGAACATTATATGAACTTTAAAAAGAAGAAATACAGCTGTATGTACATATAGGGAAATGTATACAACTACACAATTAGCTAAAAGAGGTACAATTCTATTGATGTTAATAAGAAAGAAAGGTTTTGTATTTGATTTTGGTACTTTTGATCAGTGGGCAGACATCCACTGTGTTGTATATAATCCCATAGTTTCAGAAGTGAAAGGTGCTCCCTGATGTTATTTGACTTGGCAGCCCCGTTTTATGTGAATAAATAATTTCTGGAATGATCTATATAAAAACTAGTGAAACATCATTTCTGCATAATCATATTGAGTGTTTGAAATGGAGGTTGGGAGGTTTGAGGGGTCATACTTTTAAGATCTTACAGACTTAAATTTTTTACCATGTAAATATGTATTTTTTGTTTAAAATTTTATAGTTAATTTTATAATACTAAACATTTAATAGACGTGTTATAAATGTTTTAGTTGATTTATTCTATCACATAGACATTAAATATCTAAATGTAAAAACATTACCATTTCTTTTATTTTCTTTCTTTATTGATTAAGGTATTACATATGTGTCCTTACCCCCCATTGCCCCCGACCCCACTCACGTTCATGCCTTCACCCCCCCTGGTGTCTGCGTCCATTGGTTATGCTTATTAAAAAAATACCGTTTCTAAAGTCATGAATTAAGAAAGAACATAACTATGCTGATAATTCCCAAATCTCTGTATCTCTGGTTTTGGCCTTTCTTGAAATTTAGATTTTACTGGACATCTCTATCTATATACTTCAATGGTTTCTCCTACTCACTTTACTAAAATTGAACATACATTCCGGCTGGCATGGCTCAGTGGTTGAGCATCGACGCTAATATACTGTGTCCAACCATCCGACCAGTTGCTATGATCACACTGACCACCAGGGGGCAGATGCTCAATGCAGCAGCTGCCAAGCTGCAATGACTTGGCAGCAGCAGTTCTCAGGTGAGGCACCCTGAAACCAGAGAGGAGGGAGCCCGATTCCTTGTGGGGCCACGTGATTTCACCTTCAGCCGTGGGCTATGTTGTTGCTGGGGCACTGTCAGCCCTGAATCTGGTTACTGCACACTTGCATTTGTGTTCCACACCCTGTATGACAGCAACTTTGCAGAGTGCCCTCTCATACTCAGGACCCCTGGGGGAATGTGGGAGAGCCAGTTTCTGCCCAACCCCCACAGGCCAGGCCAAGGGACCCCACCTGCCCGAGGCCCGCTCACTCTGCGAGGGACTGCGGGAGGTTGGCTCCAGGGTGTGTCTGGCCCATCTCGCCCAGTCTCACCCCTCTGGCCACCTTCTAATAATTTCCTTTCAATGTACACAAATCTGTACACCAGGTCACTAGTAATAAAATAAAATGAAATTGGACTTACAGTGTTTCTTCATAAAACATCGCCTCCTCATCCCTGCATTATTTATCTTCAGTGATTGTTCTCTCATCCACCTAGGCAACTATGACAAAAACCCTAAAAGTCTTATAGGTTCTTTCCTTTCCCTTTCCTACTGTATTTGGCTGATTATTAAATAATATTGACTTTTCTTCCTTAATCTCTGTCAAAGACATCTGAACAGCCATCTGAATAGCCACTAATATAGTCTATCCCCTGTTATTATTTTTATGAACTATTACGAACAACCTAATAGTCTACCGATTCAAAATCCATCATCTATATTACAGCCAAAAAAACCTAAAACTATAATCTCTTCATATTCTTCTACTAACTTACCAACTATCATAAGGATACATATTTCTCCTCCCTAGAATATACATAAGAGTTATTTAAAAAAAATAATACCACTTAAATAAATTTTCTAAATTTCAAATTTTATACTTAAGTATCTTTTAATTGTATTTATAAGAAATTGAATTATATATAATGTTCTATTATATATAACATATTAACATATAGCTATAACTATAGATAGATGATAGATAGATAGATAGTTAAAATTATTCTATATTTATTCCAGTGATTATTTGATTTAAAACCTATGGTTGCATATACAAAGTTAAGAGATTCCTATCAATGAATGGTGGATTATAAATATGTGATAGAATGAAACAGTACAAAGAACACTGAGCCAGAAATTAAGAATCTGAGGGCATTAGTCCTGGTTCTGGTCACATGTACCTTGGAGGTTGGAAAATAATTTAACGCCCATGTTGTTGAGTTTCCCTGTTCAAAATAAGAAAGGATTTAGGCTAGATTAGAGATAGCAAATACGCCTCAACTCAAGTGCCAACTTCAATCAATTTGAAGTGGTTGTCTGAAGAAGTAAGGGTATGTATTTGGAATCAGCAACATTATGCTGAAATCAATTAGGAAGATCTGTAGTGGTTGGGAGGTTGGGGATATTACAGCATTTATGCCTATATTAGCTACCTAAAACTAGATAATCTATAAGCCTCAGCTCTGTGAATCAATATTTCTGTGCTAGATTAAAAGTACATTAAAATTGTTGGTCTTCTTATTCCTTGGTTGCCTTCAATTGTTCTAGTCCCAGATGAATATGATTCCAATGATATTTCTAATATTTGCTTATTTTATAAATGGCAGACTTTTACAGTATTTTAAACATTTCTTTTTAGATCTTCCACCTCCTCCTGTGCCACCACCTGCTATAAAGTCACCCACTGTCCAATCCAAGGCACAACTGGAAGTACGACCTGTCATGGTGCCAAAACTTCCCTGTACAGAAGCAAGAACAGACAGATCATCAGATAGAAAAGGAGGCAATTATAAGGGGAGGGAAATATTGGATGGAAGACAAGTTGCTGAAATGCGAACAAATCCAGGTGAACCCAGAGAAGCACAGGAGCAGCAAAATGATGGGAAAGGACGCGGAAACAAGGCAGCAAAACGAGACCTTCCACCAGCAAAGACTCATCTCATCCAAGGTACTGATTTATTTAAGCACCAAGCAACTATAGATTGAACACATATTTGCAAGGCATGCTGTTAGGTTCTCCAGGGCCATATGAAAAGCAGTAAGATTTAGAAATTTGCTCTCTAATGGAGGAGATATGCATATACCCAAATAATTTTTAACAATTCATTCTAATACATTATACAAGATGTATTAGATGCCACTTGAGTTATATTTCAAAAAAAGAAAACATGATTTCCACAGATTAAATAGGGAGGAGGGAAGAGCAAGTAAAGGAAATAGGTAGAAAAAATCATGGAAGTGTGAAATTGAATGTTTAGTGAGCACTCCTTTCCAGTTTGGCTGGGGAATAGGATACTGGGGCCAGAGACACATGGCAAAAGATAGAACTAGAAAGGTGGCTGGGTCAGATTGAGAAGGCCAGGAATAGTATGCTAAAGAGTTAGGGATACATAATATAGGCAGCAGTGAGCCAGCAAATAATGTTGAGTAATAAAATATATAATCAAATTTGTACTTTAGAAAAATAACTGGCAGCATGTTATAGTTAAGGAAGAGACTAGAATCAGGTAAATGAAAATATCAGAAAATTGAAAATACTCTAGATGTAAAATATGAAAGTATTGAATTAAATCAGTTGTGCAATAAAGAGGAGAGAACAGCCTACATAGGTATTTCAGAGATAGGCCCCATAGGACTTGGTGACTAATTGAATATAGAAAACTAAAATAAAATAATGGAGTGGGAAAAAACTCAAGTGTTAATTAGATGGCCTGTAAGATTAGTGGAACATAATTGTGTTAAGCACTGTAGACAAAACATGGGAAATCATAGATGTGATGGGGAGAAAATTTCAGTTTTGAATAGAGTAAGATGCTGTCAAGAATACAGATATGGAAAAAAATCAATAAGACTTTAGAGAACTAAGTTTAAAGATCAGGAGAAAGGTTACAACTAGAGAGAGGATGTTAGAACTATTACGAAGGTAAAAATTGCATGAATTACAGAGGCCGCATTATCAACAGCGACATACTAGTTAGTGTATGGTAATCGATTTTCCAGGAGGAAAACAAAGCAAAACCTTAATTTGTAGCCATATGCTTCTTTTGTGTAATTACTCCCCAAAAGGCTGGTTTCAAGCTACTTATATGAAACGGATATGAGGTTGGAAAGAGATGGGTACAATATACTCTGTCAGAATGTGCACACCAGGAGTCAGGGATGATCATATTTAAGGAGTAGGCACAGGAACAAAATTCTATGATGCAAACTGAGAAGGACCCACTCAGATATAAAATAGCTAAGGTATCCAAACGAGAGAGAATAATATCCTAGAAAGAATGGAGGAGGAAATTTTAAGATAGGAAGAAATATGAAATGCCACAAAAATAAAAGTGGAATGTGAATGGTGGCCCACGGAATAGGTAGGGGAGAATACAAAGATTTTGCAACACGTTTATGTGTGACATTCAAAATAACTATTTTCAGTGAAGTAGTCAGAATAAAACACAGACTGCAGGGGTGTGAAAGTGAATGGAAATTGTGGAAGGGAGATATGGTGAGCACAGGCTCTTTTTAGAACGTTGGGGAGAGAAAAAAGGTGGGGAAAG